TAATCGAATGAATGATTTTGAAACACTGGTATTTTGGGGGGATACTGTACCATTTGGGTTTTTGCATGTCTAGCAGACTACATGGCGCAACAACCCAGAAGAGAGTAATCTTCAGACTCGCCGCCGTGAAAATCTCAAATCCTACAACTGAAAAGTAGTCTCCTTCTGCAATATTCATGTTTCACAGTGCTGGCTGAGGACAGAGTTCTGACTGTTTGTAATATTACTTAATGATGCTGTTTCAACTGCATAGTTTATTACATAATGTCAAAGAAGATTGGAATGTTACTGCAAAAGATATGAGTGTCAGAATCTGGGAGCAGCGAGTCATAGTCTTTTTAAAATTATCATCTTGGCATCGTTGAGTAAAACTATGAAAAACTCGGGATAGCTGGTAGCCTGATCTAAGCTTGAGCTAAATACCTGTGAAAAACAAATCTATTCCATTACTACAATACCAAGGTGCTTGGTAAAGGGAGGCAGTCCTCAAATGATACTGTGGCTAGAAAATGCTGCAGTAGTTGTCTTGAAAGATCAAGACCAAAGAATCTTTGCATAATTTGCTTTTTTTGAAGCGAGTAGAATTAATTTCGCTGATGGGAAAATATCTATTTTTACAGTAGCCAACTGTCCAATAAAAGTCTGTCCATTTCTTCCAAACAGTGTACTCTAAAATAAAAGATAATTACAAAAAATTTCCCAAATGACACATTTTAAGAGAAATGTGGTAAATACAAGATTTTCATGGAGAGACAACACAAGGGGAATTATGGAGTACTGTATTTTTAACATCAGGTACAGGGATGTGCAAAATGTATACAATAGCACATTTCTTCAAAATATTAAGTCACATAAAAATAATAAATACAAAAGTGTTCCTCTTGGAGAGACAAACCCAGGAATAATTATATTTTGTTTTGATACTTTAGCACAGGAGTGTCCAAAAGAGTCACACAGTGTCATATAGAGAAAACAATAAATACAAAAAATGTTCCTCTTGGAGAGAGAACTTTGGGGAAATGTATGATATTTACCATTCACAAAATGAGACACAGGGCTGCCAAACATATTTATGCAACAGCATGCTATAAAAAATGGTGAAAGAGTTCCTCTTGCAGAGACAAACCCAGAAAAATTGCTAATTGTTTCTGTTTCAAAAAATTAAACACAAGGGTGTCCAAAAAACTTCATGCATTATAGAAAAATATAATCTTTCATGTTATGAAGACTGTAATTTCAAACAACTAAATATTATTTAACAGTGGATCATATTTTTATGTATTTGATTTCCTGTTGCATGTAAATTGTCACTGCTCGTCTTTCATAATGCACAATTCTTTGAATGAAGCTGTTGATGTTTCCAAGGAACCAAGTGACTACATCTTCAGAATATACCCTCCTTGCAGATGAGCCAGCAGTTCCCTGTGCAAAATCAGAATCTTCCTTCAATTTAACATGGTATTACTAGTCAACATAGTATAAAGATCACTCTGAAAACTTCCCTAGTCTTAAAAATTTTTACATAATATTTTTATAAAACATTTCACTTCTCAGGGGATCCTGTGTATGTATGGATCTCGTGCCTACATATTCAGAATCGGAGACTTTGGTTTATTACTGTCTTATTATCATTCCACCAACAAAAACAAATATTGTTCAATCATATTTGCTTGAAAAATGACACACATAAGTGACCGGACGACCTAAAGCAGCCCACATTACTGAAATTAGTGAAAGATACAACAATGTTTATATATATTACAAATTACAAATGACACACTTTATTCAAATTTACGTAGTCACAAAATTTCAGTTATATTTACAATGGATTGAAGCCTTGCATTTTTTTAAATCATCACATAAATATAAATATTGAAATACTGAGGATTTTGAGTAATGCACATTTTGATGAAGAAACTTACACCAGAGGTTTAAAATTGTGATACTTAAGTGTCAGCTGGTGTGGTGCAGACGTGTATGAACAAAATCAAACAGTAGTTGTGTGTAACAAATTCCAAATTTTTGTTCTCTTTATCTTTTGGGCATTGGTCTGAATTATTTTAGTGCAGCAGTCCATGATCAACTACGGCTAATAATTGTCGTCTTTGTTTTACCAACTTCAGCATTTAGTGTTGGTACTCACTCCATGTAGCAGTCATTCTAGAGAATCTGATAGTTGTTCATGTAATCAAGATATTCTTTGTCTTTTACGAAACCTTACGGCACATCAGTGTGTTCACAAGGGCCCTCCATGTGTAACATTTACTAACATGCTGGGTTCTTTTAAGAAGTTATCGGCCCCTGAAACTGCATATCCAACATACTTATAGCTACCCTCTATATGGGAAATGTCTGTTCTATCAGGAACCTGAGGATGTGCCATGCTGTCATAGTTACTTAAGTTATTTGGAACTTCATTGAAGCCTACGATTCAGTTAGGAGAGAAGTATTTTAACTGAACTCAGAATAGCGAGAAAAGTAAAAGGTTGATTAAAAATATGTTTAAATGAACATATGGCAAACTCCTTATACATTAACATTTGATATGTTTCATACTTAGAACATTTTGAAAAAAGGAAATATATTATCACTCTGTTTTTGTACACTTTGCCATCAGAAGAGAACAAGAGAAGAGACCGCTTGGAACACACTGCCAGACAGAGACAATGTCTTAAACAAGGACACAGAAGCTGTGCAACAAATTAGGAGGTTGGTCTAGAAATGAACGAGAAGAATTAAACCTTTGCCCATGCGTTGTCACCAGAATGCAAATTATAATAAATCCTTTGACAACGCAGCATACAAACTAAGTTAATGTTGGAATTAAGAGCAGATTAAATTAAGAAAGATCTTACTACCATTCAGTTCAGACCAAGTTATTGAAATACTCTACAGCCTTGTACTGAAAATTTATTTGTAAAAGTTACAGAGTAAGCTGAAAAGGAAGAGGTGATTCTTACTTACAAATTTTAGCTGTTAGTTGTTAAGGGAGGCCATACAAAAATATTTATGACAGAAGGAAAGGGAATCTTTCAAAAAGGAAATGTTTGAAGGTTTTATATATATGGTCGTCCTTCTAGAGTACACTGATATTGTTTTCATGGATCAGAACGCAATACGGCAACCGTAAAGTAATGTTACATGATGTGATGCACGCCACGTCTTAAAGTCTATGGTGGAGCAACTAGGGATACTAGTGATGTGTCTTAAAAACACGCTGGACCTTTAAAGGTTAAATGGATTTTAATAATACAGAATGATGACATTAACTGGATGCAGCTGTATCAGGCCATGGTTCGTGTGAAAACAGCGGGAAGTCCCAGGTTCTACAAAAACAGGAAGTTTCTTGATCAGTTGAACAGCTGCCAGCTTGTGAATGGAGAACCTGCAGCCTGAAGTTGGTCAACAGGAAGTAGGATAAAGAAAAGTGGAGGCACTGGTAAATTAAAATGAAAAGTGTGCGTGCTCTTGACAAGTGCTGATAGCTCCATGGATCACTTGCTGAAAGCACTTTCCATGTGCAGAATGTTCCATTTAAAACGCAACATTAAACGCTACACATAAATCCTTTCATGCAGAGAATGACGAAACCAATGGCGATACTGAATTCCTGCAGCCGCGTCTCAATGTCGCAACCGATGCACTGCTTGAAATCAGTATGGCCATAATTTCAGCTGTTTGCTCGATCAATGGGCAATCGTCACAGACATTCACTTCCTGTGTCCTGAAATGTTGTTACTAATTGGTGTATTTCAGTATACCTTGTCAGGACACGCACTAACAAATATTTTACAGACATCAGCGAATGATTTCAATGGAAAGTAATATTTGGGAATGAACACAATATATTTGCATTTGAACAGCCTTTTAGGAACTGGCATGAGCAGCAGCCTAGTAACCAGGGTGACCTTGACATGAGTGCCATGGGGGGAAGTTGGGAAGGTTTATTATATAGCGGTGGATCGACTTCGGATTTAATTTTTCTTATAGTATGTGATTGTTTTTGGGTTGCATTTTAAATGTTACATTCCATGTATGAAGCATTTACATGCACTAAAATACTTTCTTTTCCATATTCACCTTTAAATCGCTGATGTATTTTATTGCTTTTCTGAACTGAACATATTCGACCACTGTATAGAACATCCTTTGCTGTAGCGTATGGTACTATATTTAAAGAAGTTTGACCTTCAGAGTCCTCACCCTTTGATATGGCTGTTTCCTCTGCACAGGACACTCGAGTTGAGGGGTCACATGCAGGCTTCCCGCTGATTGCGCAGACACTGCTCAACCACTTGTGAACTGTCTTCAGTTTCTGGTGTTGAGTTTTTGCAAGACCTTAGAACGTTTGACCAAGTTTCAGGTGTGGCATATAAATTTGTTTTGCTGCTGGTTAAAGGTTTCATGGTGATGATCATGTCTGAAACTTCATCGCAGTCGTATCTTTGATTCAAAGAGCAGTCATAACTCTGGCACTCACGACATTTCTTGTAAGTGTCTGGTAGTGTGTCACAGTTTTGTGTTCTGTTATGTTCTTGTATTCCTCTCGCTGATGTTGAATTACACCATAAAACAGTGTGTGTCACTTTGTCTAACGCGTTGTTGGGAACGTCCCGATTCTTTGAGTACCTGTTAAATGAAGCGAGTTGTCTCATTTCTCTGTGGTTATTAACAGACCTGTTTAAACAGATAAGCAAATTGTAGTTGTGATGTTATCAAGCAAAGATGTGCTGTGAATGGGGTTGCTAATGTACAGATTTACGACTGTAGACATAATATTTATAGTTTCACCCCAGCTGTGAAGAAGATAGAGAAACTTATTTTTGGTTATGTGACCAACAGTTTCGTAGTTATTATCGTTAGAATGAGTGATGATTGAGTCCTGATAGGCAAGGAATTTACTCTCCACCGTCTTGTACAAATGAGGCTCACTAAAGATTCTACTCACCATGCATCCAAGGCTATTCACCCAGGGAGGGTGACGCCGACCACTTACCTCCGGTAATGCGTCTGCTCCCACCTAAACCTTTCCTAAACCTTCATGGCATGATCATCATTAATCAATGATGGTGTCAGTGCAGTTGGTCAGGATGAACAAGAATTGATTCTGATATCAGACGGTTCTTTACATTAAATTGTACCTGAACCCCTTCACATTTTCGTGAGTACATTTTTGAGAGAATTTAGCTGGAAAGAAATTTTAAAGATCTGACCTGGAAACACAGTTGTATTATTCAAGTACATTTTACGTTCATTCTTTGAATTTATTTTGTGTTGGTCTTGTATTAATACTTTATCCATTGTTTGACTTTCTCTTTAAAGTCTTTATAATTTTAAAACCTTCAAAACTTCTGTGTTTTGAAGGATGGATATTCCTTCATCTTGAGGTAGAAGGGGGTGGGGAGATGCCTATTCTGTTGCATCTCGTAGACCAAGCTATTCCTGATCTGCAGAGCACTTATTAGTTCACCAGTCTAACAGAGCCCTTTTTTACTTTGAAAACAAAGGAACATCAATCCTTTGAATGACAGTGATTTCTAAGGTCCTATGATTTCAGATTATAACCTACAGATGGGACAGTTTTTAAGCAGGATTTGAGGTTTTCAAGGCGATGAGTCAGAAGATGGCTGTCTTCTGGGTTTTTCGCATGTCTATCAGACTACATGGCACAGCAACCCAGAAGATAGCCATCTTCTTGGGACAGTTTTTGTTCTGTAGTCTTGACATTTGATTCACACTTATTACCAAATTAACCTTCAGACACAAAGAATTTGGTTTGAGACGGCAACAATCTAATGTCGAGGTGCGTATGTAAGTATTTCCATTTGCTACAGAACATGTTATTGCACACTTACGAGAGTCCTGATGTATAACCTCCACTGTGCCATGAGACTGCACATAACCTTATACTCAGACACTCACACAGAATGTAAGGAGCACTGATTGGTTTGGATTAGAGGATCAAACAACAGCTCAAGGAATAAGAAAAGGAAACGTCACTAGTTCCATCCTCACATGCAGCAATGAACAATGTCTACAAACTACACAATGCTAAATATGTGTCTAAGACAAACCTGCAGTTGTCCAGGTGAGAATTGACATAGACGACTGTCGTGTTCTTGAAAGACGATGCTTCTTTGTTCTTACCGCTATCGGACGGGCCGCAGCAAAGAGTCTTGTGGAAGGCCAGGCGGTACTTGGCAGACATGACATTGTAAAGCACAGGGTTCACTGTGCAGGAGAAGTAGTAGAAACATCCTATAACATATTGACAAATCTTTACGATAGTTGATGTTTGAAAGAAGTGATGAAATACGTCTTACCGTTGTATACAACCAGTAATATGAAACGCACTGTTCTGTACTTTCAATTTGCACGTATTTCCCCATGTTGGCATTTGGGTGTCAGAAAGCACTCTCATTGCCAAACTAATTATTTACCTAACAAAAGGTTTCGGTGATCAAACAAACGTAAGTTGTGTTACAAAACATTTCTGAGCATAATATTTTTCAAAGTTAGATTTCAGATTTATAAGGCAGTACTGGTATCAAATATTTTGGTATCCACTTCCAGGTCCACGTGGAAGCTTTGAAAAATTTACAGATAATTTTAATGAGTAGGCATATTTGTGCAAATACAACATTTGCATTAAAATGTATTCAGACATTGGGATTTGAACTTACAGATGCTATCTTCGCGTAAATGCCAGTCCCTAGCAGTGCCAACTATATGAGGGAGCATGGCTACCAACCGAAGAAAAGCTTTAACCTCTGTTTTGCTTTCAGAGGTATCAGCAATGTCATTAACATTAATTCAATTTTTTCTTCAAATTAGGCATACGTAGTGGTGTCTGTTTAACAGAAAGAATGGAATTATGATGCCAGCTGAGCACTTACATCTGGTTCAAGTGCTTATTTTTTTTTGTGCAGAGCCTACAGTAGTCACATTCACACCACTCCTAAGAGGATCTGTACAATTGGATAACAAAATTAAAGAATAGATAAAATTGAGGAATTTATGATTCATACAGTTTGGAATCTTTCATCTTTCGATATCATTTGTAGAAACAGTGCATTCGATTCACGAGTATACTTGGTGTTGGCAATGAAAAGGTTCACAGATGTGTTCAACTAACCTGTGATGTAGTAGGCCCACTCATTGACCTTGTCGAAGTTGGATGACTGTTGGCCATAGATATAGAAGAGTCGCTGCATGTGAAAGGGGGCCCAGCACAGAAAGAATGTGACTACCACTGCCGCTGCAACACATTAAATGCAGTTTACTGGACATGCTCAGAGAAGTTAGCTTCTTGTAGCGCATTTTTGAGGCACAAACAAAGACATGCTTGTTTTTATAGTAAGCGTTTGAAACACCTGGATGTTATAATTTCACGAGAGCTCATGCCTTGACCTGCACAGCTGTCAACATACTGACGTTGCTTTGTAAACACAGTAATTTACCAAGCATCCTAATGATGGGCTTGGTCCGGGAGTCCAGGTGCTTGGCTTCACCTGGGAACTTGATCATGCGACGACGGATTGTAATGCCCATACGAATGTACAGCATTGCAATGATCACCATTGGTCCAAGGAAGAAGAGGAATGCACTCAGCTCATACATGGGCCAATAGGAAGGGCGAGCATTGTCCAACATGGCACAGAAGGCAGATTCTGGTATTTGGTGTGCGGAGCCTGAGATAAAAAATCATATTCAACCCTTTTAGTACAAAGATTAATTAGAGTGACTCCGGAAATAAGCGCTAAAAGATGTTGCAGAAGATGTGGTCCTGTGTAGAGTATCGAATGATCAGAATGTTTAAAACTGGAATAAATTAAAATGTATCTGCGATAAACTCCCTAAATTTAGAAATTTTAATTTTTGGTCTTGTGTTAAAATTTCAGGAGATGGGGTCTGGTGGTATCTGAAATCCAGACACTTTTCTGGGTTTATAGTATTACACGACCCTCTGAGCACAGCGAAACATAAAACAAAAAATCCACTCAAAATTTTTAAATGTATTTGTAACATGTTACTATACACAAGCATTACATCTCAATTAATTTGATTGGTTAACTAATTCCAAGTAACAGTGCCGTAAGTCATTCAACAAATGAATATTTTTTTTAATTTTTAATGTGCCTGAAGCTCCTACTTCCCGTCTCTGAGGTCCAGACAATCTGTCCATGAAAATATTTTGCAGACGTCAAGACTTATTTTCCTGAATTATTCATCCAATGAATGTTGTGTAGCTTTTTCATACAGAAGTTCAGGGTCCACATGAAGAACTCTGCTGTTGTTCAGACCTCGCAAATTCCTCCAACGTTGGTAATTCAATAATGAACTACTGAACCAGATTTAAGATCTGTTGACACAAAGAATAATGCGAACACTCGAAAAGTAGACTCATAATAAGTAAATTTAAATTTGGTATTGACTTTTTATCAGAAAAAGATATAGGGCTCAGTCACCAAGGCCTTTTTTTTGCAAAAATGGGGTGCGCCATGGTGAAGGTTATGTTACAATTAAGGCGGGAGAGATTCTATTCTGCAAATCACATTCCTCATGTCACAAAATTAATCTGAGATATGAAGGGCGTCGATACATGACACGGACTGAACTCTCTCACAAAAGGATTTATGGCGTTGATGATGAAATGTCAGCGATTTACCTGTACCTGGTGGATACTGCATGTAGTTGATTTTGGTGTAGACAGCAAACGGAGTGGCACTGACAAGGGACACGCACCACAGGATAACGATGACTCGTAGGGCGATCCTGGGGCTCGATGTGGTGTAGGAGTGGATGGGCTGGCAGATGGCAATGTAGCGCTCTGTGGAGAATGCCACGATGGTGAGAACTGATGTGTAGGAGGACCTAGAAAGGCACAGGCAAGTTTTAGAAAGAAGCAGGAAGCTTAAGTGGAATGAAGGAAAGACAAAGGAAAGGATAGCAGAAGGAAATAAAGAAGTTTTTTAAAAGAAAACACAAAGGAAGTGAAAATAAAGAATGGGGCAGAATGATAAAGGACAATGAAGGAAGGAAAGGGTCTCATATTAATTACTATTGTTCTCATCTTTGTCAGGTCCTTTCCTTCAGGAAAAAGTGTAAGAAAAAGGAAGAAGGTGAGTTCAGGCATTTTGATACAGAAGTTTAAAATGTGGAATCACAGGCTGAAATGCTAGAGAACCAAAAAGTTGACTTTATTTTACAGCGGATAAACTGAATGGATGGAAGTGGCCCTCACCGATTCCCAAGGATGATAGTCCACAGGTGATACGTTCTTATCCCGGAACGTGGGACGGACAACTGTACATTACTTCATAGTTAAAATATGAGGCGTTAAAACTAAAGAACGAGGTGTGGGCACGTAAAGAGACAGCCATATTACCTTAATTTGGGGAGTTTTCTGTATGGAGTAAACGTGTATTTTATTCAGCTTACATACACAAAATTAAGAATAAACCACATTTATTGCATGAAACCAAAACAAAATAAATATGAACGTGGATAATGTCAATGGTCATTCTGCAAGCTCAGGTCAAATTTCTCAGCATTTGAAAACTTCAAATGTTTGTCTTACATTAATATATATTTAATTTAATGACTCTAAATTCCAATGACACATAAAATGAAATTCTGCAACCTAAATATTTGTAACCAGCCACGATCCAATACAGTACAGTACATCTCCGATCTCTCATAAACCTGATACGACATTACTTCTTGGTCCATATACAAAACATTGACATCAATACGAAATACGAAATACAAACATATTAGTGACCTGTGATACTACAACGAATGAAGAAACAATATAAAGGACAAGAACATCAGAAAAATGAAGACTAAAAGTCATTAAAAATCATTAAAAAATCAGTAATTCAGTGAAAAGTTTTAATACATAACACCTGATGATGGCTATATATAGCCGAAACATGTCGTGTATGTTCCACATGTAAATCGAGTACTCGATAGGGAACGTAAAATGTTATTTTAATCTTTTAATAATATTATATTGTGATTGACGGCTAATTTTAATATATTTTTAATACTAAATATTTGTGTTTATTTCCTAAACCTAATTATAATACCACCCACCAGGACCAGAGTCTGAGGCCCTAAGCTATATTAAAAATAAGATGCCAAAAAAATTTTGGAGGCAAAATATGCATTTATTACTCTGATTAATGTGAACATTGAAGTAGAGTGAATGAAAATATTTTTTCATTGGTACACGGAGGTGACGACGTTGAGCTACACATTAAAAATTGTATTGTAATTTTTGAGCTGGAATGCAGTGGCCCAGGACATGCAAATCCTGCCCACCAAATCTAGAAACATGGATCGGATGATCAGGGAGGCCATCCCAGTGTAATGAGCCCGTAGTGACTTACATCTCGGATCCTAGGGCCCGCAGTTTGCACAGGGTCTCTCCCAGCACCCAGGGATATTGCTGCCAGTATATTCCCAACTCGTACGGCAGCCCTGCAGACACAGAGTACAGGTGGTCAGGGTGGCAGAATTGCTTGGTGTTCGACGGCCACGTACTTGAAAGTTTTATAAAGCACTGATACAAGAAGATAAAACATCACGCAAACCATTCTTGACTCATGTTCTCTCTGTCAAAAAATAAATCAAATTAAACAAGAAAAGGTGTTGTCTTAGGTGTTGGAAATGCCCGCCATGTTCAGCGACGCCTGAAGGAACCCAGTGACGTTTGAAATGCGCAGATCAATATTTTTATACACGTTCTGCTCAAACAACCCAAAGACAGAAATCCGATGGCGACAGATCAGGTGATCGGGGTGGCCACAAGTATCGAGAAATAAGGCGACCACCAAAAATACTCGCTCAAAATCGGCGTTGTGGAATTCCCTCTATGTGCTTTAGTCCGTTCTTAATGGAAAAAACATTAAAATATCTATAGCACTGTGTAGGAATACATTTCCGTAGGACAGTCCACTCTGAAGACAAACTTTTATCATTGATTTTCGTGGAGAACGTCACAAAGTTTGACGGATATCGTCCAAAGAATTGTCACTGCCCGCATATTTCCTTTGTCACGGGAACGGTTGACCGTCGATTTGTTTGCCACAGGAGAATCGGCAAAGATGTCCACACATTCATTTTTGCACTCGTGAAAAAGACATCATCGCTCCTCCATTATCTGAAGACAAATGACTGACTGCGGCTAACATGACGTCACCTGCTAGGCCTCGTGTATAGCCACAACGATATTGCGTGTTTATTAATCCAATCAAACTGTACTCAACCGCAGACATCATTAAATATTTTAATTTTTGTTTTGCGCGGCATTTCGAACACCCTGTATTAACATTTTTTTTGTATATGCAGTAAACGCGTGACGGGTTTCACATGCCTGCCTGCATGTCGGCTTCCCCGGATCATTAATTTATTTTACGTAAAGTTAATGCAGTATATTTTACTCTCATATAAACCATAATAGTAGGTAATTTGAAACTTCAAGTACACTACTTCATGAAATTAAAATTCAATCACGTGTACGCTGGGTCGAGTGCTCTTTCTACATACAACGGATATATCGATTTTCACCAAACTTGGCACGCTTATTTATTGAGACCAGAAAGATATCACATGAGGGCCACACTACCGAAAACTGTCCTGGGTTCCATTCCTGACGAGGAAATTTTACGTAGCTCCAAATTTTAGAGAAAAACGGAGCCAAGGCAAAATTTGTTAGTTTCGGAAAGGAGATTACAGAAACTAAGGTCAAAACCCGAAATCCCTCCTGGGTTCAAGTCTCGATGAAGATTTTTGGTTTAAGGATAATTATTTCTATAATCTTCAACGATATTTGATGGTAGGGAAGACAAACATGACACACAAGAACTCATGACGACAGGCCCGAACATGTCTGAAGACGCGTGAGTCCTGTTTGTTTACCTTCCCTGAAAAGTGGAGTGTAGCCTCATCAGAGAACATGATTTTCCTCAGGAAATTGTCTCGAGCATGGTCAATGCAGTGTCCTTACGTGCGTAACTTCCTGCACCACTTGTAAGTGTAAGCTTGCAGAAGTAAACGTTTTCATAACATTCGACGCACTGTTGGATATGGTACTTGCAAATCACGTGATGCAACTCGCGTCGATTTACGAAAGTGGACAGCGGGCAGAAAACCTGCGCATCCGTTCGACATTTTCATCAGACACGCGTGGACGCCCGGAACCTTTCTGATGCAGACACTTCCGGTCTCCTTAAACTGCATGTACCAGGTCTTGACAGTGGCGTCTTGTGATGCGTTGTTCTGAAACGACTTTGGACCTGATCATCCGATTTCATTTCTATAAACTGCTCCACGTGCCGTGCCTTTTCCCGTGGGGGCGACTAACCTGACTCACCAAGATGGATGCTGTGCAGTGGAAAACAACGGGTGCTACCATCTACCTGGAACTCTGTAAAACTTTGAGAGGTTCTGTCGCAGATGACGCTCAAACACTGAGTCCATGTGTTTTAATGAAGGTTCTACTCACGAGTAAAGTTGTAAAGATGATTTATGAACACCCTGTATAATGACAATTTGTGACTGAAGACGAGGGTAGAGGAAACTACTTAAACGTCGCCTAGATGTATGTAAATTTTACTTCACACAATGCGTAACATCAAACTCAATACTGTTGTAAGTTACAGAGATTTTAAACATAAACCAGCTTTTGTAATGAAGTTTATGGAAACTTTCGGGTTGCACGAGGAATGAGACTTCGTTTGTCAAGTTCAATACATATTTTTTGCTCATAGAAACGAGTTATTTTTGTACGGCGCTCGAGTCTTATCTGTTACAGTCCGGGTGTCCCCAAATAGCTGCGTCATTTCAGGACGTACTCATTATCCATCGTCACACAGAATGTTCCGTTGATGAGAAACAATTGTTTTATTACAGGCTGATCGACGCGTTTGATAAGTTATCATCAAACACCTAACGAGCTTCGCATTTCCAAACTTTCAGGCTGATTGGTAACAGGCCCCAGCCAATTATAAAGTTACTGGCAGTTCATTGTTTATTAACGAGGTGGAACGAAATGAGTGTAACTTTGCTCGTTGAAATGTACATCAATCGGCGAGGACAAGTTGGTCGAAGTGGCAGGGATTTGAGGTACTGAAGAAGTGGCTCGTTGTTACATGATCCATTTATCGAGGTTATTCGATAATAATTTTATCACGCATGTTACAATAAAACGAATTCAGAAGTGTCCGTTCTTTATAATATGTTTGAAATAAAAATAAACTTTATCGAGAAGCTAACAGTCGCCGAGCCACTAAAAAATAAAATTCCTCGGAGTCCATAAAACCCAACGTTTCAAAACCGTCTCTACAAAAGCCTAGCACTAAACCCACCTTGTCCTAAGCGACAGAAGTGCAGTGAATATCCTAACTTCACTTTTCGTTTTTTTACATCCATTTTAATATTGTCATCCAACATCTCCAAAAGGAAATTCTCTTAAAAGTTTTAAGAATAAATTTCGTATGCTTTTATCGTGTCATCCATACATGCATCACCGACATCTTCCAACTTGATTTTATTGTATGCAAATGGTAAAAGGTCGTTTCTACGTGAAAAGATACGTACAAGAAACGAAGTTAAGAAAGTGACGCTGCTGATTCCCTTAATATCTTTGAAAATTACAACGTGCAATTAAACGAGACGGAAGGAAAATAATTTCTAGTGGTTTAGTACTGTGGTACCTGTAATGTAATTAGATTACCACAATTGACTACTGTCTGTAATAAAATAATACCGAAGTCAACGAGACACACAGAATTGCAAAGTGTGTATTTTCATGCTCTGCCTGAGATTTGAATCTCTAAGTTGGCCTACGCTAGTGCGAGGTTCTTAAAATTATTGGAAATTTACAATTCATGAGTTCAATGCAATATGCATGAACAAACAGCGCCCACACGTGTTAATGAAGGAAATGCTGTAGCAGCTGTTCGGTTAGACGTGAAGAATCAGAAATGTTAGGACCAGGGCCTGCGTAGGGAATGGGCTCTGTCGCATAGTTTCACCTCGGGAATCTTACGCGGTGAAAATATGATTCTGGAAACACGTCGAAGGGAAAAGCGAAAATTTCACGCGTAATATTTTGTTTTAAGTTCTTCCGAAGAGGGCTGACTGTTCTCATACACAAATAAAAGCCACGAGGGTTTAAACCTGAGGACCGCGGGGGCCACGAACCTCGGCTTATGACTCGTTCGCCGAGCGCATGGAATGTCTCTCAACACTTTACTGTAAATACGCTAAATGTGCGCTTTTTCGTTGGGTCGAAGGTGTCGAGTTTCAAACACACCCACACAAACAACAAAAAATCTTTTGGAAAAAAATGGAAACATGTTTTATTGATGAGAACCGCCGATGTCTAACCGCTGTTTAAGTGATTTGTCGTAACGAGAGGCGAGGATTCTCCGCTGGAGATGGAACCGCCCAGAGTTCTGACTGATTTAATCATATAACAGAAATGATTTGTCGTTTGGCTGCCGAATTACTTACACTTGAAAGCTCCTCCCATTTGATAAACTAGCGACGCGTTCGTCTTTCGATCACATGACTGAATTGTAATCTACATCCATTGTGTTGCTTCGTCATTCGACTGTGTCCTAATCCACTGGTTCTGAGTCTTTTGTAGCTTGGGACATTCATTTCGCTTTGGCACACAAGGATTAGAATACAAAACTAACAGACATACACGATGAGCCCTTCATTCACTTTGCGTAAAGAACGCGTTAGAATAATTGCAAATTGTGGTCGCTTATTTTGAGAATCATAAGAACTCTATGAATACACTGGGAGTAATATACAGAGTTACTTATTGCTAAAGCATTGGGTTTAAAAAGTTAATCTCGTGCTTGAAATTATAGGTAACGAAGAGACGATTTCGACGCAAGAAGTGGCCAGAGAAATTTACATTTCTGTAAGGAAACCACACGCGGGCCTGAATTTGAGAAACGTGACCTCGTTGGTTGATGATAATTAGAAATTGTGCTGTAGTGACCGACTGGGTCGTCACATTCTTAAGACCAGGTTAAAAGAACACCGAGATTCTTTGTAACCGGAAGGTTGTTCCCGTACTCACCAGAGTCCGCCACCGGCAACCGAATTTTTCGAAATATTGAATCCTAACCTCTCGTTTCCCCATTGCGTTCTACATTTCATGTATTTTAATCACCTTAAAATAAGGCACACGAAAGTTCCTGGTGAGATATGGAGAGGCGCACTGAGCCAGGGCAATTAGACGGGGAACAAACTCCATCTATAATTTTAGAAGAAGCGTTCGAAGGCCCACGCGTTAATTTATATGGATTATGGGATGACTCATGAATATTTTACGAGGCGATGTGCATTGCAATGATAATGATAAGGGCTTCACATACAGAATCCGCACCCTCAGAGGGTGGATTCTGGGTGAAGATTTGCGTTCGTGGATGTAACATGTCTGCTACATTTTTCATAAC